CATTCAATCATGACAGTTTTGGCGGTATCTTCAGATGAAGGTTGACGTTGATTGGCTATGACATGATGCTTATAATTGTATGATAACCATTACGTGGAAAGGCTGATCATTACGGTTCAGTTAATTCGTTGCTGCGTGATAGATGATAGCACCCAGGCGTGATAATTAGCAGCTGATAACTTATCGACTTGATCAATAACAGTGCTGGACACTAGCAACACCAGATTTGAAATTTGCTATACGGAAATGCGGGTTGATTAATGCATTTGCGTTCGAACAACATGTATAAAGTAGCCATCACAATCTCGTTGATGAAGAAGTATGACTTTGATTTTGTTAAGTTCTTGGAATTGAAAAATGAAAAATAGCATTCTCTGATCGCAGTATAATGCTGCTCATCAACATGTGCCGACAAACTAGCGGCTGGCGAGATGGACACTGGCTGTAGCAGACTCGTTCGCCGACTGCATTTTTGTGTCAGCTTCTAAAGTCGTAGGATCGAAATCTTTTCTCTGCGCATACAGCATAATGTTACGCATTTCATTCTAGACGAATAGATGAGCACTGATAATGTTTCTATACTTAAGGCACGCAAACGAAGCAGTTCTGCTTTTACTAAAGCGATTAAACAGTGCAACTTGAAGTCCACGAGGTTGATTAGTATGCTTGTCTGTACAGTAATGTTATTTTGTGACTAGACAAATTATTTTATTTTTAAACTTTAAAGGTTGACTATTCTTTCGGATTCTATCGTTAGACACAAGATAAATTTTTTCTGCCTTGGCAGTCATGAAATTTGAAACAGCTGTCATCTTCAACCGTCCAGTAGAAGGTTCCCACAATTAGTTAAATTAATTTTTTATCTTCATCTTGCATGACCGCTTCTTTTGACTTACGGAGGCAAACACGTCAGACAGTGCTTAGAACGTTCTAAATCCTGTGCCAGAGTCTGAGCTTTACAAGAAGACAACTGGAGTCTTGAGTAAACTCTTGTATACTTCCACCAGGTTAATCTTGGCCTATCCTTGGACCCTCTGAAGGTCGGATCGACAAGAAACAATTGCTTCGACTACCTTTCAAGAAGCACTCGCAGCGAGCCGAAACCGTCGTAGTAGTGACTTCTCAGCCTGAAGAAGCAACGGGTGCACACCATGGCTCTCGCGGATATCCGTATTCCAGACTATGTCGAGAAGCGTAAGACCAGAGACTAGCCCCAGAAGGCTCATCAGCTACTTTCACAGGGGATCGAAGATTTTCCGTCATGCTCTACGACCATGATGGTATATAAACATGGGGATAAAGACTGACTTGAACACAGAACTAAGATGCAAAACCGAGCTCCGTTTAAATCACAACAGTTGGAGTTAGTTCACGCAGAACGCCACTGGCTACACCAATTCATCGGTCGGTCTTTTCCTCCAATTTTCCATCACTAGTAAATATAGTTTTGAAGTACTTGAACTTCTCTACATGCTTCCACTGCCTCTCCGTTAATCTGAAGAGAGCAACGGGCAGCAGAACGAGAAAGCACTAGGCTTTTCGTTTAAGATGCATTCACACGCATGCCGGTCACCTCGCACTCGGCTGCGAACCTTTCTGAGGAGCACTGAAGATCAGTTTCAGAAGATGCTAATAAAACAAGGT